CTGGGGCGGCCCCAAACCTGGAGCAGCACGGCCAGGCCGGAGGGTCCAATCACTGGGGAGACTCGCCCCCTAGGGCCCCAGATCCGCCTGGGGCCTCCTGGATCCTCGATATGGATCGACACCGAAGAGAGGCTATGCTAACACCAACGATGGGGAAGCGTTACAGGCTGCTCCTCTCAGAAGACGAGGGATTCCTCAAACAGGGCACCGGTCTGTCCCCTGGGGCACTCGAGGCCATCTCTAGAGGGGCCCAGGGACACAATCAAATAGATAGACGCAAATCCCAGCATGCCCCATATGTTCCCATATATTATTGGTTGTTGTCTTCCCCCCTCCACTTCCGATATGTTCCTATTTTTACTCGGAGTCGACGCGCACTCTGGTCGCCTCCCAAACCCAGAGGCGGCATCACAGCCACCCTTGACTATAGAAGAGTGTCCAGCGCCGATCCGAGATCCGCGCGGGCGTCCGACAGCTCACGAGCGTGCAGTGCGCTTGCTGTCCGAGGCAGCGAGGCAGGCGGGAAAGGCAACGCGGAGGCACTTTCACGGTCGGAGAACAGTGTAGGAAACTTGTTCGCTGTCGGGGGCGCCTGTCCCAGGGCGGCTGGAAATCCTCCTCCCCCTCCCCTCCCCTCTCCCACGCCAGTCCTCCTCCAGTCCTCCTCCCCGGGGGGGGGGGGTCCCAGGGGCCAGGGGGAGTCCCTGTCCTCCTCCTTCTCATCCTCCTCCTCCTCCTCCTCCTCCTCCTCCTCCTCCTCCTCCTCCTCCCCTCCTCCTCCTCCTCTTCCTCCTCCTCCTCCTCCTCCTCCTCCTCCTCCTCCTCCTCCTCTTCCTCCTTATCTCCACCTCCTCCTCCTCCTCCTCCTCCTCCTCCTCCTCTTCCTCCACCCCCTCCTGGTCGTCGTCGATGTCTTTCCGGGTCGGCCACCTCAGCCGTCAGGCCTTCACAGTCGACTTCTTCGCTGGCGGGGGCGCCTGTCCCCGGCAAATGCACACCCTTACGATGGCACATCACGGTATGAACTTTCCAGCCGCCCTGGGACAGGCGCCCCCGACAGCGGAAAGGCTTACTCTATACCGTTCTGCACCCGCTGGCGGGTCCAGCGCCGAGTGAAGGCATCCGCGCGGGCCTCCCCGAGACTGCAGATGGACGTCTGTCGCTCCCGCTGCTCCTCGGACGCGCGCGAAAACTGCGCTGCTCCTGCCCAACCCTGAGGCCCCAGGACGTCCATTGTTTTTGTTGGTGTGGGGACGTCGCGCTTTACATCGCAAAACCATCGCGACCCATAAAACCCAGGGCACCCTGGAGGCAAGACGGGTGTTTCTTGGCATGGGTCTCCACTGTGCCCTCCCCACCTGTCCCTCTTTGGGCGCCCGAGTCATCCAGGGTAACTCGGGCCCGGGGCAACTCGGGTTCGGATTCCCGAAAAAAAGGAGCCCGAGTTAGCCTTAAGTCGGGCGTGTCCCTCTACAGGGGATGTTCGACGAAAAATCCAGAATACTTATATAAACAAATGTCAAACGATGGTCCCCAGACTGTTGTTTCACTATTGTCGTAGATTCCCCCTGTAGAGGGACAGGCCCAACTGTAGCCCTGACCCGATGGACCCCTGATGACCTGGAGCTCTGACCCCTCCCTCCTCCTTCTTCTTCCGCCACGGGCCTCGTGCGCACGCGCCCCGAGAGGCTCCCGGGAGGGCCGCTGGGACGCTGGGCGAGGGCTGGCAGATCCGCGGCTGCTGGAACGCTCTTCCCCGAAGGGAAAACCTTTTTTTTGATCCGCGGGTCGAGAGCGAGCCTCTTCCGGTCGAAGCTAAGCGGGCCGCGCACAGCTTTCATTGACGGAGGGAGGAAAACAGAGCCCGCAGGGAAACACAAGAAGTCCCAGACTCAAGCTCAGCGCACTACAAATAGCACACGGGCTGCTTCCCGGGAGGAAAAAACAAAAAAACAAAAACAAAAAAAAAGAGCTCTGCTTTCGCAGCCACGGGTTGGCCAGCCTGCGCCCGCCTTCTGAGCCGTGCGCCCGGCAGGAAGGCACCAACTATACACCAACACCGACCCTGGCCAGGATCACCCTGGGCACAGGATCGGTGTATACGCCCCCCTGCCTTGCGCAAGAAGGCATATACACCGATCCTGGGCCCAGGGTGATCCTGGGCCAGGATCGGTGTTGGTGTATAGTTGGTGCCCTCCGACCCAGACAGAGGGCGGGGCTGGGCTCCCCACGCGAGGCGGTGCGCCTCACTCCGGCCTGCGCGGGGTCGAGCCGCGAGACCCGCCCTTGGTGGGCGACGGACCGCATCGCCGGCGCACCGCCCCAGGAGGAAGCGAAGTCGGACCGCCACTGCCGGCCCTGGCCTCAGGTCGGGCCTGTCCCCCTGCATGGGGGGATTTTCGACGAAAATTAAATGACAACTGCTCAAAACGCACTCCAGAATTGGCGGAAAATGCTCAAAAAATAGTCCCCATACTATTTTTTAACTACTTTTGAATTTTCCCCCTGTAGAGGCACACGCCCGACTTAATCGAAATCTGACCGCCACTTCTGGCTCTGGCCTCAGGTCGGGCATGTCCTCCTACAGGCGGACTGTGGACGAAAAAATGAAAACCAGCACAAAAAGCACAAAAACAATCAAAACAATATGTTAGAAATCGTCCCCTACTATTTTTGGACTATTTTTGAATGTTCCTTCTGTAGAGGGTTGTGCCCGACTTCACTCTGGCTGGCAGCTATCCCCCCTCACTAGGAGGAGAAAAAGCGCCAAAAGCATAAACTGTTGGCGCTCCGCGCGGATTTCTTGGATGTGCGCTGGACCCCCTCCCTGGCGCGCGGAGCTCGCCAGGGGCGGCGCCAGAGGCGCCGCTGGGGGGGCCTAGCGCGGATCGAAGAAACCCGCGCGGAGCGCCAAAACTTTATGGTGATGGCGTTTTTTGCTTCTTCGACTCACGTGGCCTCTTGGCTTGGGAGCCACAACCCGCATCTGCGGCGGCCGTTCATGAAGGGGCCCTGGGCCACACAACTAAATACACACAATTAAAAGGGATTCCCCCTATTTTCTCATATGTTCTATATTTTTGTCTTCCCCCCCCACACACTTCCCTTAGTTTCCAATATTCTCCTGGGGATCGACGATTCATTCTGTCTGGGCCACACAACCAAATACACACAATTCAAAGGATTCCCCCTATTTTCTCCTACGTTCTAGGTCTTTGTCTTCCCCCCCCCCACACACACTTCCCATAGTTTCCTATATTCTCCTGGGGATCGACGATTCATTCTGTCTGGGCCACACAACTAAATACACACAATTAAAAGGATTCCCCCTATTTTCTCCTATGTTCTAGGTATTTGGCTTCCCCCCCCCCCCCCACACTTCCCATAGCTTCCTGTATTCTCCTGGGGATCGACGATTCATTCTGTCTGTGTGCTTTGTCCCCTCCTGACTTCCGGGCGAGCCGGGCACCCCCGAGGGGACCGCCGAGCGCCGAGGCGAAGCCGCTGCGCCGCACCCCCAGGCTGGAGGGCCGCCGGAGGCCCGCGGACGCGCCCGAGGGCGGCGAGAGGCCGCAGGGCCCGTTGCTTCCCTCGGGGCCCGCGTCCCCCCCGGCGAGAGCCAGACGGCGGGAGGGAGGGGAGGGGAGGGAGAGGCAAAAAAGAGGAGGAGGAGGAAAGGAGGGGGAGGAAAAGAGGAGGAGGAAGAGAAGGAGGAGGGGGAGGAGGAGCAGGAGAGGGAGGAGGAGGAGGAGAGGAGTGAGGAGGAGGTGAGGAGGAGGAGGAGAGAGAGAGGATTAGATGAGGTGCCGGGGGAGAGGAGGAGGAGGAGGAGGAGTGAGGATGATGGGGGGAGGGAGGAGAGGAGAGTAGGAGGGCGGAGGAGTAGGCGGAAGAGAGGAGGCGGAGGGAGAGTGGAGGAGGAGGGGTGGCGGGAAGGGGGAGGAGGAGGAGGAGGAGGAGGAGGAGAGGGCCTTTTTCAGAGAAGGCTCGGGAGTCCCCCTGGCCTTCCGAGAAATTGTCTTAGCCTTCCCCGAAGACAGACAAAAACTTCTCGGAGCGCACAAAGGCCTCCGAGAGAAGCCCCGCCGCCTCCTGACAGGGCCCTCTCCCTCTCACGGCAGAACCTAACCGGTGTGTTGCGTTTTCGTGTTGTGTTCGTTGTCCCTCGTTCTGTCTCCAGTCCGCCTCTTAACGCAAAACGAAAGCCAAACGAAAAGACGGCCCACGAGATCGCCAGAACACCGTTTGGGCCCAGCCCTGCGCCGCCGAACGAGCCCTCGAACCCGAAACGCGGCCGAACCTCACCGAGCAGAGTCCGAACCGCGGCCCCCGCCAGCGGACCGAGGCGATCCGGGTCGTGCAGAAGGCCCGGCCCCTCCCGGAGCATGCACGCCGCGCCCCGCCCTGCGGAGCCCAGGGTGCCCCCGATGCCCTGCGGTTTCCCGCCAACCGTCAACCAGTATCGTACTCCTCCTCCTTCCTCCTCCTCCTCCTCCTCCTCCTCCTCCTCCTTCCTCCTCCTCCTCCTCCTCCTCCTCCTCCGCCTCCGCCCTCCTCCTTCTTTCCTCCTCCTCCTCCTCCCCTCTTCCTTTCCTTTCCTTTTCCTCCTCTCCTCCTCCTCCTCCTCCTCCTCCTCCTCCTCCTCCTCCTCCTCCTCCTCCTCCTCTTATTATTATTAGTATTATTATTATTAGTATTATTATTATTATTATTATTCGTCTTCTTCTTAGAATGAGTATTATTATTCTGTTTATTAGTATTCTTCTTTTTAATATGATCAACATTCTTCTTTGTATTCTTATTATTATTTCGTATTAGTATTATTAGTATTATTAGCATGTGTCTCCTTCTGCTTCTTATTATTATGATTATTATTAGTAGTAGTATTACTACTATTACGTTAATATTATTATTAGTATTAGTATTAATATTGGTAGTATTAGTATTATTATTGTTATTATTGTTATTAATGTTGTTACTGATACTATTACTACTATTAA